TTTAAATTTTTCTGTATCAAGTATACTTATTAAAGTGAACAATTTTCAATAAACTTGAAAAAAATTGACATTATAACACAAAAGAATAAACTTAATTGATGACGTAACGAATAATTGAGTAGTCATACTAGTCATTTTCTGCATAAAAAAATAGGAGTAGTTAAAGTAAACAATTTTTATTTGAAATATTAAAGTGCAAACAGTTTCGAAACTATATGTTTTAAGAAAATTGAAAAAAATGATTTTTGCAAGTAGTGACTACACTAAATTTTTTTATGCAATTTTTTCTTTGATATCTTACAATATAATGTTCATAATCCTTTTTGTTAAAAACATTTAGTAAATTAAGGAGTATGAAAACTGCAAGTTTGAAGTACAATTTTTCGATGACAGGACTCTCTCCAACAATTGTCAGTACCACCATTGTTACTATCAGGCTCTACTAAGCCAATACAAAAAACACATTTTTTTTCTCTCGATTTCTCTTCTTACCTCAGGGGTATTCAAGATCCTATTGAGAAGTTTTTGTTCAGCGTCATTTGCACTGTGCTTATAAATATTAAAACTCTTTGTGCTCGCAAGTGTAAATGTGTCACTTGCCGGTTATCAGTCTTTATCCTAAATTTACTTGGACTGGAAATTATAAATAAAAACAAAAGAATATTAAAGACTAATACTTACTCTAACTTTATTTAATTTTGTATAACATATTTACAATGATCGATAATATTACAATTGTGTTGAAAAATCTTTCCATTTTGTTTCCAAAAAACATAAAATACACACATCTTTCACGTAGCCAACTAAAGTTATGATCTTGGATGTGCTATTTGCAAATGTTCGAGTATTAAAGAAAAGCACTAACCGCTTGCCATGTGTCAATTAAAGAACTAATAACCACAAACGTCTGATTTAAGACAGTAACGTGCATGCATGGATCATTAGTGATCGCACGCACGTAGCTTTTGCCAAAACAAATCTAAGGAGCAATGATAATACTTGAATATGTATTTAAATCCATTCGATGCTACGCACGAAAGTTGGCGCCAAGGCGAAAAGTAAAGAAAAAGGCGTGGGTCGGTGGTAGGATCGTCAACAACCATGTGACAGTGAAAGCACGAAATACCTACTTCATTGTGCATGTCGCACGTGATTCTTTGTACGATGTTATTGTTCCTTGTGATGCTAGGACATTATTGTTTACTCAAGTGTTTTCATGACAATAGCCTATTACTTTACATGCAGAAAACCAAGTGTCAAAGTTCTCTTGATCGATGTATCTTAATTTTATAGTAAGCTGATTTATCCTATAGAACGATGACGTTAAATTTGTTGAAAATAAAAGAAAGTTTCCACGTACTCTCTAAATTCTTCACTAAAGAAAAATAAAGAAACGAAATGGACCATATTTTATTCTCATCGCTTGGAAATTTACAACGAAATTAGGCTCGTATTTTTATCGAATAATAATTATAAATCTTGATATTTCATTGCTCTATGTACAACATTTACTAATTTTTAAAACCCGATAATGTATACTCAATAAATAATCTTCATTGAGAAATTTAGAAAATCAGTTTAAGTCTCTATTCGTTTGGGTTAAAAATTTTCTCTCTTATTGTTTCAATCAGGTAATAAGACCGTCAATAAATTTACGAGTCATACGAATGAATTGATTGATGAACGAATTAACTGATCACTATTTTCCGCTATTTTCAACTAGTGTACATAACTCGCTTTCTACTTCTATTTATACGACAATAATATTATGAGAAGCATTATAATTACAGCACATTTACAATTAAACACACTCCCAGCGTCAACAGTAAAACTGTACAATATCCGCATCAACTGAAATTAGTTCAAACACCTGGATCAAACATCCCAGTCCAATTTCTTTTGCAATTCCTTCGATAACCGATACGGAGTCCAGTTCAGTCGTTGTGAAATTTTCCCACACTCTCCCTCGCTCTCACGTGTCATTACGTGCTTGCCCACACGGAGCAATTAATCGATCGTTGCACTGTACTAACCAATATTCCAGCGGTTTACTGTTTCTAAGCTCTCAGCGGCCTTTTTCTGCTGTAGTTGACAGGACACTATAGCCAGAATAATAACTTGTATTCATGTTTATAGTCAGTGTTCGTCACGAGCAGTAGGTTTTCGTGTAACATCTTTGAAGCTCTTCAGTTTCAATATTTTGCAGGACGGTTAACTGTTAAATTTTCGGCCGATGAATCACAAGGAGATAACTCATGTCGACACGTAGTTTAGGTCGCTGAACTTGCAATTTTCCACTGTAAACATTTGTGGTTCGTAGGCGATTAACGTCTTCACGCTTGGGCAGACTGTTATTCTACAAATCATGAAACCAGAGAAAGGGCATTTTAAAGTTGGAATTTTATCTCGTCTAATATGGAGCTACACTAAGTATTTCTCTTAATCTATAACGTGTCTATTTTATTCCATGTATATTCCATCTTAATGTTAAATTAAAAAAAAAAAAAAAAAAAGTTAAGAAAAAAGTATCATAAAAGAAAACTAAATTAATATTGAAAACAATTAAAAGAATTAAGAAGTAGCTTAATTTTACTAATTCCTTAATCACAAAAAATATATATGAATTTTATTGAATCTGAATATAAAAAAATATTTTATATCATCATGTACATGCAATGAAAGCATGTCAGATTATTAATAAACAATACATTCACAAAAATATCACAAACGACGTAGTGTGTGGTGAGTTTCTGAAAAAAAGTTTTTCAAAATGAATAGAGACGTAAGATTTTTGATACCAGGTGCCTATACCAAAAAAACTACACTGATAATCGTTCTCAAATTTTGACAGACACAAGGTATATTGCTTTGTTCCAAAACTCACGAAAATCATTGACCACCTCATATTGTTTTATCCAAGTTAAATTTATGTAAAATTTATGTAAATACATTTTTGACATAAAATAGCAACGTATGTAATTTTCATTTTGTACTCCTTCATGATGATGAAGCCTGTAAAAGCCCAAACTTAAAAATTTGTGAAAAATTCTGTCAATGCCATCTCGACATAACGTACGGATGTAACTTGCACATGAACAATAATATCAACAAATTTTACTTGACTCAGTAAACTCATCGTATCCATATAATACCGTATAGGATTATCAAATTCCATGCATGAACATGGTCCAATAAGCAATGCGTGCATACTCACAGCACTAGATATATGTAAAATAAGACAAAACAAAACAAAGCAAAAAAGAAGAAAAATGTACAAACTCGTTATGAAACTCGAGGCTCTTGATAACGAGCGAGTCGACGTAGGCCTTGGGCTTGTGCAGCAGCCGCCAGGTGAGTGGATTGAACATAGACGTCAGATAGATCCAGGTGATCTCGACGGCCTCGACCTTGCCCACCACATCACCGGCCATGACGACCGTGTGGCTCGATCCGGGCTCGTAGTAGTTGGAGTTCTCGCTGAGTTTCAGAATCTCGGTGCTCTTGCCGTTCGGCCCGATCACCCTGGCTGTGAACATTCCCACCTCACCACCATAGGTCAGACTCTCGTTCGTCTTGGAGATGTTTATGGTGACGCGGTAGTGCGCCCCTGGAACACACATCGCGCGCGCGATGTATATTAGACGCGGGCACGTTAAATCATTTCGGGAAAGTCATACCGAGCGCGTGTGGCTAATTTATACTAGAGTGCGCCCGCGGGCTTCGAGGAGAAAATCGCGGCTAGGACTATCGTACGATCCTTTGATCGGCAAGTAATGAAAGTACCTCCATTTACGCGGATATATATGCGACCGGAAGGAACTTCACGTGTGCGCCGAGTGACTGCGTGTATACATATATTTGGGTGCGCGAGCGTGTGTTCTTACGTAAGACTAAAAAGCATGTACGTTCACGGTACGTATTATACATACTTGTGTGTGTGAGATATGAAAGTTTTAAGTATATATGTTTATTATAATGGCAATTAGCGAGGGTGATGGGACTTTTTTTTCGAGCCAATGTGTGTGTGTGTGTGTGTGTGTGCGAAAAAGATGTGGTGATTGCGTGAGTGTCGAGGAAGAGAAGAGATTAGAAAGAGTTAGGATTAAATCTCGGAGTAATTAGCTTTACGTGAGTAACGATTTTTATCAGCTGGTCTTTTATTAAATTCATTGTTTTATTTTGTACCCAACCAATAGCGCACGAGTTGCGTAAGTTTTGTTGTATCAGCGAGTGATGTTATACCTATCGTTGAGTCTTCAAAGTTTTATTTAACCATGCAAACAAATATGTGCAATCGTTATATTCATAAAGTATGCAAAGTTATCGTAACTAAAAAAAAACAATTTGTCAATAATTATGTAAAATAATATTTTAATTGTTGAAAAAGTTTTTTTAATACCTTATTTGCGATTAGTTCCANCTCACTCAAAGCGCAATAAGTTAACAATTCGTTTTACTATGTATTATATGCAATCCTTAAATGAAACGGTCAACGTTTTTTATTATTCATGCCTGACGTACAACATGTACATGCTCGTGTGTACGATACAATAAACGTATAAATGTAGTATAGCAAATGGTAGGCATATATATATGTATATATATATATATATATATATGTATATACATATTATAGAGTTTAAAATGTGGGGCATCCCAGAAAACCCCCTACTACTTCTATCATCCCCTGAGGATCACCCACTATCCCTCCACCACCTCCCCATAAATTAAGGGAAAATTCGTCTTATTTCTACGTTATTTTTACCCAAATAATATTGAATCGAGCCCCCCATTGACCTCCAACGCCCCCATACATTTTTTCTTTCCCCCGCCGCCCCCCAATTGCCTTAACACGATTTTTCTTGTGTTCTCACGTACTTCCGTTGTCTGTGTAGAATCTTTTTCATAATTTGACTATAGAATACAAACTTAAGCTTTACTTCTTCATTCAGGAAACATTTGTACATACTTTTTTTCCAAAAAAATTTGCTTTTAAAAATAAATTTCTTATTATGTGAGAAAAAAGTTCTTTTAGAATTAAAATTTAGTTAATCTGTTTTCTTACACCACCCAGGAAGCAAATAGATAGACTTTATACATACTAATAATGTACATGAGAGTACATTTTGATTGATCTCTAATATCTATAAATATAGTAAGTCTTATAAAACAATGTTGAAAATTTATGATAGTAAGTATAAAGTTTTTGATGCGTTAACTTTTTTTTATAAGAACATACAAGTATGTGCCTATTTTCTCATAGTTATAAAATGATAGAAACCATCGAAATTTTTTCCTATAAATATGACTCACTTTTTCAAACCATATTATTTTGAAGCCCTGTATAACTACAAAAAATTAGTTTTGGAGTACCCTTGATTGAGTTATAAAAATATTATGAAAAATAAGTTCACTTTCCAAATATTATTTATTTAACCCCTGCTGTACTTATCTGTATCTCATCTTAATAGTCTTACCTCAAAGCCTATGTGAAGAATTATTATTCATCAATAGGGGGTTGTCACTAGAAGTGCGCAGGGGGCGGAGCCCAACTAGTATATATATTTAAAAAGAGTTAGTACAATATCATTATTTAGTTTAAAAATTTTTGAGAAGAAAGGTTATGCAAAATTTCGGTAGTCATTCAATAGAAACTAATAATTTGAACAGTGGTATTATTTTTTGTTATAGTTTAAATCAGAGAATATACATTACAGTAAATTCTTTGACACAAATGCATGCTTTTTTACTACAGTTGAACCCAGTTGCTATTACAACTAGTCTATACTTTATAGTTCAAAAAAACAAGTGTACTTTTTCATTTTACAAATAAAGTTTCAAATATTTCAACATTAATAGATTGAAATTTTAGATTGCTCTAGTTGATTTTTCAATAATTTTGTTGATTTCCTTGATTTCGTGAAATTTCTAATACTAAAGATCTCAATTAAAGTACGTATTTGTGAACGATTTTTCGATTTTGGTTGTTTCCAGATTGATTTAGTTAAGGAATTTTCAATTGATTTCATGAACATCACCTCAGAGTTCTTTTTTCACAATGAGATACTAGAACCATCACACTCGATATTCATTTAATCTCAAAGTATATGCTGCACGTATAACCAACGTGCAGCAACAAATACTCGTTGAACTGACGAAACCAAAAACAATATCGTTTAACTAAACGACCATCACTATTCGAGCTCGATTATTCCGAACAAAACTCCCCGTACACGATTAAAATCACCCGACGTACTAACAAAATTCCGCACACTCGCACGCACATCAACGTATAGTAATTGCAAACTCATTTCCGGTCGCGTTTCAATGCCATTACCAACGCCCCGTGCATTTTTCTCACCGTAGAAAGTATACCCATCGATCCGCACGTACTCTTGTATCGTATTTTATTTACCATCACAAGCTACACACAGCATAGTACCAAAGAAAAAAAAAGCAAGTAATCATCAGTGTACTAACTGCAAAACGGCTTGTCCCTGCCCGTCATCAAGTACACGGAAGCGTGATAATTGCCGGGCTGAGCGTTGAACCCGAACCTGTGGCAGTGCTGGTCTGCGCAATCGAAGCAGCTGCCGTTCAAAAATCTCTCCCAAGAGGCGCAGGGCACTGCCAGGTATGGACACGCCGTGTTGATGCTCTCGATGAAGTACTCGTAACTGCGGATGTGGTTACAGCCAAGGAACCGCTTGATACCTTCGGGATACGTATACATAGGAAGATCGGTAAGTCGTGTGGTACTTTATTTCCTTTCCAACGATTTCTCACCTCGGAAGAAACTGCCCTTCTCCAGGGTGATGGAGTTCAAGACGCCCTCGTTGCAGCCTGGTTGGTTTCTGCCACCGTTCGGGTAGAAATCGACGTGGGCCACTGGTTGGCTGATCCCGAGACCGCCGCTGATAAAGGGGCTGCAGTCCGTGTGTATGGCAGTGACGAAGTCGGCGTCGGTTGGATCGAGACGGACGACCGGCGAGGTGCTGCTGAAGTGCGGCTCGGCTGGGTCGAGGCCTGGGATGAGAACAATGTCAATGGTTATTTAGTGGAATCATTTTTTTTATTTATTCGTCGTGTGATTGGTTTCGACTCGATACAATGGCTTTTCTTTTAAGTGTGTCCCCAACTGTGGATGATAGTTATTTACGTAACAAGTGCGGAAAAGATGATTTCCCGCACGAGTCGTGATTGACTCGCTAGAGTGGCTGGAGTTGACGGGAACGAGTGCCAGTTGAGCACACGAGTTCGTAGCACGAGTGTTATCGCAAGGTACGAGTTACCATCACCAGTCACGAGTGCGAGTCTATCACACGAGTGCGGGAAATCGTCCCAGACGAGTTGCGTACATGATTTTTTGCGATAAAGAGGAGATGATTTTTTTATTTCATAAAAAGTTTCATTAACTAGTGGATATTTGATTGTAGGTTTTATGACATTCATGTGATTTTTCATGTATGAAGTAAAACAATACCAGGGTATCACAAATAGAGACCACATTAATTGATGCAAATGTAAAACTATTACACAGCACATGAATACAAAATTGATTGAAGACTATTATTAAGTTCTTTAAGATATTTAAAAAATTGCAATTTACGTAATTATTTTCAGTTAACTTTTGACATGTAGGTAATGTAGGTAAAAAATACTAGTTAATGTTATACTTTTAATTATTTTTCCGCTATAATTCAAAATTCCCTGCGAATTTCGTAATCATCATTCTAATATAGCTGCACTTTTTGTGGCAAGCTTTTCTCACAATCATGTACATATGAGTAAAAGAATGTATTTTTACAGAACAATAGATTACCTGCAGAATGATCAATAAACTTATGAAGTAAAAAACAGAGACAAATCCCTTTTTATTTCATATTCTTGAATTAGTAAACAAGCAACAATGAAAAAAAAATTAATGAGCCTAAAAAATATTCTCAGTTTTGTAATCTTTTGTGATACATTTTCAATTTTTGTTACCCCCCATCTCCTCTCATCACTGTCCTGTTATGGATTTGTGCTCCTGACACGCAGTCTCGAGTGTGCGTGTCTACAGAAGCCGCTCGCATACACCGTTGCATATCTCCAAACGTATAGATGCGAGTGTGAGTATACACCTACAACCAACCCACGCCAGGCTGACTTGGTAGTGTGGAGTAATGGCAACAGTCTCACATCCTACCGTCTCCTGCTATCCTGTTACTTCCCAATGAGATCGATAGCTTACGTAACGACTGACTCGCTCCCTTGCTTATCGGCTCCAATCAAATTCTCATTGATTGGCTACTCTCGGATACTATTTTCTCGTCCACACTATGCTGGATCCACACAGATTCTGTCGCAATCTCGATTCACTAGCCATGTTATCGTCAGTTTCGCCGTTCGATGAGATATAGTTTTTATTTATTGTACATGGTAATTAAATTACGTCTTGGTAAAATCAATTTGTAAATGACTTGTTACAGTATTAAATGGAAAAACTTATGCTTTTCTTTTAACAGTCTTAAGAAGTATATTATTGTCTTTAGTAAACAAAAAAAATTATTTAGAAAGATTTAAGAAAGATTATTAAAAATCAAAATCAACATTAGCTCATGAAACAAAAATAACTATTTGAATGTCTATAACTATAAGTACCATTTCATGAGTAAGCGTTGTTTTTAATAATATGATTGTCTCAAAAAATGGAGACAAAAATCTGTTCTTAATATGAACAAGAAAGTGTATTTTTTTCAAAATCTCGTTTTTATAAAAAGTTGCTTGAACTTCCGTAATTATCGATCTACAACGTAACTACTGTCATACAATAGATATTGTGGGTACTATAAACAACATACATACTTTTTCTGATATGACTTATCTAAGTTTCTTATGGTAAAGGTTGTAGGTATACTTAAATAATACAAAAGAACTTCTTTCTATCGAAAGTTAAAATGAATCATAACATAAGATAGAGGTCAGTTTTTAAAATGCATGCTGTCATTCTGATTTTTGCAGCTCTAGTAGAAAAAAAGAAGTCACCTAATTTCTCATTACACAAGAGCATAGTCAAAGGATTGATTTGGTTGCAATCGTTTTCAAAACTTAGTTGTAAATAATTAACTTTCGGCTTTGCACTTTTCCGTAAAGATAGTCTGTTATTTTAGTCACTGGCCAATGCAATCACCTGGAAATGGTGCCTTAGACATCTCAAGCATTCATAGCCAACACTATGCACCCACTCGAAATTTCAGCATCGTTGGTATTAGTATTGATGCAAAACTTAGATCAACCGATTTTTGTGTCAATTCCTTTCCCAAAGGAAAAATTGGCTATAGGTGTTTCGAAAATTCCAAGCTCACAACCCTTACTATCATTAGTGGATACTGTGATAGTATAATGGAAGGTTCAATTAGATTCTAGCAAATAGCTACTGAGGATCAGCTTCCTCAAAGATTCGTTAACTTATCTTCATGTTAACTTATGATAAAATTAAAAAAAAAATTGATATACTATGTGAAACACTTACCAGTTATTCGCGCCAACTTGTACCCATACTGATAACGTAAGTTGTATCCGGTATAGCCGCAAGTATGAGCACCCAAGCTATGGCCAATGCAATGCAATCGACTGGGCGATATGTTGCCCTTTTGTATCAATTGCGACGCCAATCGACCAATCATTGCTCCTATAAGTCGAGTGTTTCCAACTGCCTGCGTGTAAGGTGGACCTGCACCTCCGATCCAGTTAACTACCACAACGTTGGCATTTTCTCGCTGCAGCAACTCTCGCATCATCCTCTGTTATGTAATTAAAATGTAGTTTTTTTTCTGAATGAAAATCCGATACAAAATTCAATGACTCACCAGAACCCACGTTTTATTGCCGTTGTCCAAGTAACCATGTATTATGAAGTACAAATTCGAGTTTTTCCTCAAAGGTGATCTTTTGATGGTTTCTGGTCTGTCTATGAGCAGTCCATGTGGATCGCCGATGTTTTTGCGAGTGTAGAGTAGGAATAGGGGATTAATACTTTCTGGTTTGATCGGAAAAGTCGATACTGGTCTATTGCCTCCAGACCAGGGTGATCCGATGTAGAAGCAGCCAAAAGGCTGATAACACCTCCACATGTACCATTCTAAAACACAAATAATTTTGGTTAATTAAGACTTAAAGTTATGAATCTATTGTTCCTTAAAATTTTTTTTTTTGGCAGCGTTTACACTGCAATATATAGATTGTTGGTAAAAAATAAGTTTTGACGCCCCTTGATAATGGCAATATACTAAAAAGGCATGCATGCCTGGTTGCATGGAGCACAGGAGCTATTGTTATATTATTTCTCTCAAAACGCACTGTATGCACCACTATTTAATTTTTTATTGTCGCTGTATATTTTGATTTTATTTTCATTAATATACTTCGTTATAAATTTCAAGCAATTTATGTAATTTTACAAACTGTTTGTGTTATATTTTATACAGTCTGCAACTGGTTAGATAGAGCCCTACTCCGTGGGAGATGTAAACAGTATTGGTAAATAAATACAGTAATGTTTCTAAACAAAGTTATGCGAAATCATGCAATTTTTTTTTTTTTTTTTTTTTTTTTATAAAACACTGAATTAGTTTTCTTTATTAAAAAAGTGTAAACATATTTAAAAAAATAACATGCATACTTTCAGTTTCAGTTTAGTAAATGAAGTCTAAGTAATAGCACGAAAAGTTTGAATAATACAATATTCGCAATAAAAGTTATTTACTCAAACACTTTATCTTTATTTAGTGCAATTTTGCATCGGCAAAGAATAATCATGGTAAAAAAATATTTGTAAGCACGTTTGTTTTCATTCAACTTATGTTCGCAGAAACATGGCAACAACTGATTAGTACTAATTATGTCAAACAAATTGCTATTTGATGTCGTAAGTGAGAATAACAAATTTACTCTGATAATCAATGCCACTTTCAAAGACTTGAAACAAATTGGCTATCGACGTCATGACTGCAAAAGTTCAAGCGTTGAAGCTGCGCATACTGACCCCAAAGGTGATAGCAAACTGATTTTTGTATGTTATTTATTTGCATGATTTTGGAAATGTTGACAGAACAAATGTAAACTATTGATCTAATAAAAGTATATTAAAAGAAAATTTCAACTACAATAGCAATAATAATATAAATTATAACAATTTTAATTATAATATCACTAAAACAAAGTATAAAACTCTTTTGTACTCAAGTAAATAAAACATCAATTCAAAAGTTCTTTATGTTTTCTTTGTTGAGGTTAAAAAAATTTGTTTTTATTTGCAAAATATAACGTTATTATGTTTACTATCTAGTGTAGTAAAACCTTCCTGAATGAATTTTAGCGCAACCACGCAACTACCGTTGAGGGGTGCGCACTCTAAAGTCTTCTGACACCTTTGAAAGAATTTGAATAACTTATGAAGTCTTTTTTATGGCTTCAAGAGTGCGCAGACCCTCGCCTACAGTGCCGTAGCTACGCCAAATAGGTATGGCAGCATCCAGCTTTTCTAGATCTCAATAGTAAGTCAAGATACCGAAGCACCTAGAGCACTGTTTTCACGTTTCTCTTGATGTACAGTAAACATATCACAGATATACCGTTTGTAGAGCTCAATATGATATGGCAAATTTTATTTTTTGGTACATCGATTCCTCACTTTATAATTGTTTTATTTAGTTGCACCGATCGATGTTGCAACCACTTTTTTTACATTCAAACGTTTCAAGCATACTTATTTTTCGAAGCTTCAAAAGATCCCCTTATTCTATTTAGAGAACAGTTATAAAAGCTGTCATTCATCAATGATAACAATTCATGCTATTTTTGTCCCCAGACGAAACTTATTCATCTAACGAGTGATAAAACGCGTCAGTCTTGAGGTAGCTGGAAAGTAATGCTTCCACAAATAGCTTCGGGCAATTCCTTGAGAACGAAATTTCTAGAAATGTCTCAAGGATTCAGAGCCACTAAGTTAGGACCGTAACACGTTTATGTATCTCTATTTAATGATGTAACGCCGATCTCGCTGATAGTGCTGACATTAAGAAACCGCTGCGATACCGTGTGAACTTGCGCATTACGTTTATAAGTTCGACGGACATGCCATTATCGTATCAAAAAAGAAAGAAAAAACTTGCACGTCGTAAGGTTATCATCGCGGCGCTTGTCGATACGGACATTTACATGTAGGGGTACAAACGTCGCGTCGTCGCCACCCAGACTCGTCTCTCCACGCTTGTTTTTTATCTCGACTCCTTGGAAGTGCAGACTTGGTGTTGTGTCTTGTGGTAGCTGTTACCACTATCGCTCGTGTGTTATCTTATTGACTGACGAGTATGACGTAGACAGCGCGGCTGCGTCTTCGGTTTAAATACATCCCGTTTTCGCGCCCTTTTTTTTTGATTTTGCACATGTGTACTTTTTGTACCAATCACGATTATTTTCGCGAATAACTACTATTCGTGGGGTTTGGATGTTTTTCACTCCGCGATATTTAGGATCTTATTGGAAGTCCTCCGGAGATTCGAGTTGTGTTGTCTTGGGTGCTTTTTCTTTTTACGAGCTTTCGAACATGTTACGCTCGCGAACGTTTGACGCAAGTGATAGTGGAGGGACTAGATATACATTTATTTTTCTTAGGGTTACTGACCGTGCGTGCAGATAATTTTCGAAAAGCTGCTCGTTTCAATGCTGCCTTATCCAAAAATAGGGAATCGGCTAACGTGGGACTCAACGAAGATTTGGATTGAGCTTGAAACTAACGATTTCTTACAACGATATCAGTATTGCCCTTTTTTATTTGGTTTTTAAATTAATAGAACACTGTATTCTCCTCAATTTTTATTGCCTCGATGTGTAATCGTTATCATATTCTTTTTTAGCACTTTGTGGTCGTTCAAAATTAAGAGTATATTGGTGAGATGAGGAAACGAGTCGTACTTTTTTTACTTATAAAATATGAAATTGTGTGGGTTAACAGTTAAAACGTTGATTGTTTTCAGTTACTTTTTTGGTTTTTGAGTACCTATGTGGCTTTGATATGCTACATAAAGATATTTTTGCATCACGGGGGTTGGTCTCATACTTAAGGTCCCAAATAGAAGTGATCCAACAGTATTGATCGGGTCTTGATCCATATACCGTATCCATAGACCCAAAATAGCACATATTCGACAAGTATTTTTAAAACAAATTTCTTCAATTATTTTTACGATACCTAATAATTTTTTCTCATATTCAACCAATTTGAGGATCTGTTACATTTTATAAGACAATCAACCGGTATAAACGAGAGATGATGTATTCTAAAACAATCGTATTGTCTAGAAAATCTTTGTTCCCACGAAATCATTTTTTCACTCGTAAGGTTAAAAATGTTAATGACTTTAGCGCATTTTTTATAAAATCAATAAAAAAAAGGGGAGACTCATAAACATAAAACAACGAACAAAATTTTCTTCCACTTAGGCTACCAGCAAAGTTGGCTCAACACGTTACCTGCTCTTTCCACCAAAGCAACCCACCTTCATCGTACTCAATTTCGCTCTCGTCCGAAGAAAGAGGAGGTCGAGTCGTCGTCGTCGTCGTGGACACGGGTATCACATCTCGATTGTTCCTCCTCGAATGCCTGTACGACTTGTACGACGGCGCCGCCATCAGGTTCATCGTGTACATCATCAGCATCAAAGTCTCGTTCAAATTCATCCTTTTTAATCTTCTCACTTGTGCGGGCACAAAAAAAAAAAACAAGAGCCGCCACTTCCAAATCTCTTTATACTGTCTGAGCTACACGTTTGTGATAGGCAATGTATATAAATCTCTTGGCGAGTTGAAACGAAAAATATTGTTTGTCAACTTGCTTACATTTCCGGTCGTCAAAAACCTCCAAAGCACTGACGCTAAGAGCGACGCGATCGAGAGACCAGTGAAAAATCGTGAGCTACGATCGCTCGCTTATATACACTCGCAGAATCTACGTGAGCTTTGACTCCGTCGTGATAGAGACAGTGGCGTGTCTCTACCGCTGGCCGATCTCTTAGCTATGCACTTGCTCTTTCGAGGATAATTTCTTCAACGTTTTCGGACGGTAAAAAAAAAAAAAAAAACATCCAAGAGGAGCGTTCCAAAGCTTCTAACGAGTTTTTATTTTCCGTCACTCGTGTAATTCATACGAACCAAGAAAGTGGAACCGAGCCGTTACCGGTCGACCGAAAAACGACGGAAAGAGGGGTGGTGCTTTTGATTCCACACCAGAGAGATAAGCAACGGGTCTTGAGAGTGGGAAGATAATTTCTTTTTTTTTCCCGATTCTTCGTCTACGATACTCCGATCGCACGTATCTGAGGGTCGTCTCAAGGCGGCCGGGGTGCGAAGAATCCGGGCCAGTGGTAGCTCGCAAGTTCAAGATCGCTATGGTACGTTGTGTAAATCGAGTGCTGCGATCGATCGGTACTGACTCGTCGAAGCGTCGGCATTGACTGTCTTTTGGTGTGTCTTCTTGGTCGCCTTTTAACACCCGAGCCACTGCCGATCCGCTCTCGAGATATCGTTCCGCCGAAATGAGCCGTCAAAGGGGCCGCCTGTCCAATGGAGTTCCAAGAACTGGGCCAAGCCTCTCTCCGATTACTTTTTTTTTCTTTTTTTTTTCCTTTCGTACGTTTCCCTCCAACAGCGATGCCAGAAATGTGATAATCATTGACGCGGTTGTTGAGCGTGGGTGTCGAGTGAGACGGGAGCTTTCATGCGTCCATCTCGAGAGTTTGATCGCTTATAGCAATGGTGGAGCATGTGCAGCGGGAGGTCGATCTTTATCGGTCCTAATGAGCGACGAGCCTCCGTTTCTTCTTCTTCTTCTCCTCATTCCTCTTGTTGCAGCCCAAATCGTTGGGATTCTTCGGAGAGGTGGTGTTATTTGTGCGCTTCGAGACGTTTCTGGTTCTAGACTCTACGATCTGATGGCTGGGAATAAGAACCGAGCCGGTTTTCTCTCAAATTTTTTATTGCCCTTTATTCGACATTTCTGTTGTTATTCAAAGAATGAGGTCTCATGGTGAGGAGTACTTCTCAATGCTTGGTAGACCTTTGCAAGATTACGTTTATTCTATGTGTTTTTTTGCAGCGTTGGGCAGAAAATTTTATTTCATACATTGTTCGCGCATCATAAAATTATAATCATTTGACACAGGAAACGACTTTCGTATAAATACCTACTATTGTCATCCTGGAAAATCGATGCCAATGATGTCACGTAACTTATGATTTTTACTTATGACCTTCTAATTAGGATGACGAGCCTAAAAAGTAGTTATTATTTACTTACTTACATATTTATAATATGTAAAGCCCCACTTACAAACATTTTACGTAAGCTGCACTGAAGTGTATCGGTTCACATGCAAGCAGATAATATGATGTGTTCAAAGGAAAGGTTAACTTGTGATTATCATCGGGGTTGGAAACAAACTTTTGTTTTTCATAATATTTATAAGATGATATATCATTGAGAGCAACACGTTGCCGCACGTTTTTTGTCATCATGCTTTCACACTTGTTCGTCCTCGGTCTTATTCGTTGATCTCGTCTTTTTTCATCTAGTTGTGTGATAAAATAAAACGCATTACACAACTTCTTACTTAAACTTACTTATTTTGTGAAACTACTATTTAGCATCGGTGCTTAGAGTTGTGTAATTCTTTAAATGAATAAGTAAACAATCAACGTGACTGCATCATCAAGACGTCAAGACTCAATGGCCTGGACCATTACGAACGTAGTTCACCTTTAAATCGTTATTATTAAATTTTTCTTAGATCAATCTTGTGACATTAGGAGTTCAAAAGTTCATTGCCAAATGCACACATACACTCCATCTCTCCTTTCCATGGATTGTTTGATTTATTTCATTGTTTTGCTAATTTGGTTTTTCCATCGTCGCTTGAGTGTTACCTAACGGTCTCCTTCTGACTGATTTTCTTAAAACGTGCTTTTATGGCCTGATATACGTTTGATTTCTTCGTAAAACTCTGAAATTTTCCGTTTTTCGTTAATCTCATCGCGTTTTTTCCCAATAATTTTTTCTACTTTTCTCTCAAAAATCTCAATTTGTGCTTGCTTTTTTTTATTGTCTGCGTGTTTTAACACCGTACATACGAATTGACTAATTTCGTCTCTAAGTCTTTTTTATTAGTGACATCAGTAGTTCGACATAGAAACTTGGAAATCCATTTAAATAATTTTCCTATTGCTTTAATCTCTATTTATTTTGATTATTTTCTCTAATAAGGTTGATTTTTTTTTTTTTTCAAAAACTACTTTTTTTTTCTTGCTTTCTAAGAGTTTTTGTGTACTAAATCTTTTTTTTATCTTCTACGACATCCATGGATTCTGTTCGGTTTAATAATAATACCCTACGTTCTCTCCTCTAAACTCGCCGTATCACGTATTTCAATCCAAAAATTCATTAATGAAGAAAATAAAGGATCTTTTTCTTGAGTACTTTGTGAATCATAATAAAAAGATTTGATAATTTTCCCGTTTTTTCTGGATACATATTTTTACTTGAATTACTTACTATCTGAGGTTGTTTAGATATTCAAGAATATCGAGCTTCGCCTAGATGCGTAAGCGCCCCTCCTCTCATCCCTTTGAGAGCGAGTCGGCCTCCAAAATTCTCCGTTATTTTCCTTCTTCTTTCTCCTCTTATGCCCTTTTGTCTTCTAGGGGAGTGGTCCTCACGGACCTGTCCCTTGCGGGGAGGTTAGTTTTTAGTAGATAGGCACACCGGGTGAATCCGACACTACCGCGGGAATATCGCGGGTGTCTATGAAGATTTTCCCCTCCCCGCTCCATCAAAAAAAAAAAAAAAAAAAAAAATTCAAGAATATAATGGCCTTGATTAAGTAGTTGAACCATTTGTTAATGGATCATTGGTGGTGTTTTATAAGCAGAGACTACAAAATAATTTGCTTATTTGAGAATATTTTCCAGATATTTTAAATTTATAAGATACCTGTAAAACTTTTACATCATGATCTGTCTCTCTTTTTGAATATTGATGTTGATATTATGTTCATTTATTGGAAATGAGTTATTCTGTCCACATTCGATTGACTAGCTCATCAAAGATGAATTTTATATTTTTCTCTTGCACCAGTATTCAGCCAATAATATTATTTGAAATAGCAAAGTTCAAACAAGATTACTCATACCCTCTAGATAATTTTATACACCACATCAGTTATTTAAGTACTTGTTTTCAAAAACCAACCAGACGAATGTTTCTTTGACAAAAAAAAAAAAAACTCCACAATGGGCATGGCCTACCATATAACTTAGGAAGACTTTCGAAATTTGCGTGATTTAAGTTGGAACTCAAAAACTATAAGAGCAAGGAGACATTTCGGACCCAAAAGTGATGATCAATTTTTTCATCATACTCGCCTACCTACTCAAAGTTTTCATACGAGCGTGACATGCCAACTATTTTTCCCCCATACAACCGATCTTTACCTGCCATCATTGAAACTCCCCGATGTATTCTCGTACTGGCTTAATAAAGACGTACGGAAGTAGCAGAGAGGGGGGACCACCTTTCATCGCTCACCAATAAGGCAGTGCACCCTCTCCACCGTCGAACATCCTCTCCCGAAAGGACAACAGATCCCGAGTGTGTATTGTACTCCATGTGGGCTTAGAAGCCGTACAGAGCAGTGGTGCGTATCGATCGTTTCGAAAAAGTAACCACAGTACAAGACTCACCGAGGCGGGCCCCCCTCGTGTATACAGCTGTCGCTCCATGCATCATACAATACGTAAGCGCACACACATTTATACACGTGTGCGATCATTTTCAACCGAAGGGTGGCAACTACCCTTCCTGGTAACTAATATCGCCTCTACGTGGTGTATGCGTGCCTAATACATTGCACCCCCAGAGCCGGCATCGAGTGACCCGACAGACGGTGCCATCGTGGGTTGCCCGTCCAAAACGCACCCTCGCGACTCATCGCTCGCGGCATTATACGTACACCCGTCCGTACTTGCGTGGTAAGTGCGGGCACGGTGGCACGTGTACGCGTGTAAGAAGCCGAGCGAGGCAAGAGGTCTCCTCCTCTGGCGTCCTGGAGGCTGGATAGCCGACTTGTTCGGTGTGTTGTTTCGTGGTTACTGCCAAGGCCGAGGAGGGATACACGAGGACGCAGATAATTACCCTGAGGCTCGTGCGCATGTTTATGCGTATAACAACCCTTCGTGCTCGCTATATGGGTGTACGTGCCCGCGTGAGTGATCGAAAAAACGTGTGCGTGACTGAGGGTCAGGGTTGTTACTTCTGGGGGCTGCGTACATACATGTAGTCACGGGAGGAGGAGGAGTTGTAAAAAAGTTGTTTGGGTGAGAGGACCTTGGATGGGAGAGCGTGCGTACGTGCGTGAGTGCTGCAAGTACGTACAACGCACAGGCGGATGTGTATGCACGTAACAAAAAAAAGGGGGGACCATGAGGGAAGAGAGAAGGAAGGGAAAACGGAAACGAGAGAGAGAGAGAGAAAAGAGGGAGAATCCCTCGGTGGGCTTCTTGGCGTGCGTGCTCGCCTGTTACGTTGCCCTATCAAATCCCCATTTATCTACACGCCTGCGGCAAACCGTGTCTCATTTTTCCTCCTTTTTCAGGTATGGATAGGTCCTTTTTAAGATGTTGCAAACGAAGAGTTAGTTGGATGCGTGTGTCCCGTTTTTAAGTGCTGGTGCTTTATCGAACAAAGTATTATTGGTGAAAAGGAATCATGTATGAAATAGTTGTTGAGAAGGTTGAACTATATATGTCTCATATCGGACTAGATTCTACAAATTGTAGGGTTTTCACGTATTTTGAATCCCTACTTCTACCATCTTGTACCTTTCTTTCCCTGATTTCCACTCTCTCTCCCCAAGTATGCTAGTTGTCTTTCATGCGGGTTCTTCAGTAAAAAGTTTCCCTTAGACGACTCAGTTGTCGATGCTACTGGGTACTATTTTCCAGGAAACAGCAATCGTCTCAAGCATAACCTGGGCAGTATTAGGTTTAATGGGGGGATCTCTTTTATTAAGCACTTAACTGACCGTACCATTCATTTTTTAAACTGATAGTAAGTTGACCAATGAGCTGGCCAGGTGTTGATTTTCCTTGAAAGGGAAGATTTTGGAATTTCAGAAATCATCTATTTATTCCATCTAAAAATCAACTATTTATCTCAAAAAACGAAGAAGTAGTTTTTTGGTATCTGAGATACTCATATTACCCAAAAAAGCTGAGAAAAAACTCTTGGTAGGTTTCGACTAGATTCAAACTCACAACCGTTTGGTTTTTCTAGCTAGGAGGCTAGCGTGCTAACCAGTAAGCTATTAAAGCTCTCTAAACAGTAATTTGATGGTAAACCTCGGACAGTTTCTTTCAGAACAAACTGGAAAGCTCATACCAATGGG